AAAAGTTCTCGTACAAGATCTCCATAATCATCTACACATTTCTTCAATGTTTTGCTCTTGGCCATAGTGGCTTTTAATTCAGTATCGATTTCAAGCTGATGAATCTGATATGATGCTTCCATGTTGGTCATAGCACTATTTAACCTTTGATTTTTGACTTGACATCTTTTCAATTCACTAACAGACATATTGCATCTTTCTTCTGTAACTCGTGAATTATGATAAAACTTCTTGGCTCGTCTTTCATGTATGTTACAGTTCTTCTTCAGTTTGGTGACCCCTGTTATCCACTCTTCTGGGGTGTTCCCTATATCAGCATTTTGAAAGGCTTGACTGACCTTCTGGAAATCTTCCTGTATGTTTTCCATTTCGGTGCTCAATTTATCGTTTTGATCATTCAAATGACATATTTGGGCTTCGAATCTCAACAAATCTTCTTCCTTCTGGACGTCCCTACTGATGCTATTACCTTTGAATACATTTAGTGTTGATCTGGTAGGATTTTCAATTACCAAACTAGGTTGATCATTTATTATAAACTGCAAGATTCCCTGATCCAAAAGACTTTGGACTCGACGTTTGAAGGCAAGACAATTCTCAATGGTATGTCCTTGAACTCCAGCATGATATTTACAATAAACGTTGATGTTATACCAATTCGGATACGGAGGTTGGAACGGTTTTATATAATATGGATCCACTTCTCGTGCTTCAAGTAGCTTCTCATACAACTCTTTATATAATATGGGGATAGTATCAAGATGAGAACCACCTTTTGTCTTGGATTGAACCTGAGTTTTAGACATCGGGAGCAGACCAAACTTTGATGATTTCTGATTACATGATTTCTTCTCATCTCTGAGAGCTTTTACAGTGGTCACCATTTCTTTGGTATCTCCAGACGATTTGTGAATACGAATGATGACTGTCTGTAATTTCTCAAGTTGATTAGGATCAGAAGTCCCTTGCATATCTGAAATTGCAGGATTATCTTCATTAAGCTTTCTCTCTTTCTGTGCAGGAACCTCTTCTCTTTTGGCCAAAACAGATATTATATCCATCATCTTGGACATCTGCTCTCTTATTTCTCGTATCTCCTTCGGCTCTTCAATGGATATATGATCTTTGGGTGCATAGCTCTCTTCTATCCTCGAAATTCCCTCGGGATGCGGTTCCTTGGCCGTGTCATATTTTGTTTGATCATAAAACTTTTTGTCCATTTACGATTTCTTTCCAATTTGATGAACAGTCTTTCAAGTCAACACCTTTTGATTATGCCGTGATCATGTAATGCAAACGAAAGAAATCAATATGAACATATTAGAGCAATATAACATGCATGAAAAAAAAATAGAATAGTTAGTACCGACTAATGGAAAAAATCTATCTATCAAGGTATAAATCTTAACCTCATGCTTTCTAATTCCATGCTTTGTTTGGAAAAATTAACCTAACCACATGATTTCTAGTTCACCTGCATTTTTTCAGAGAGGAAAATAATAAAAGCTAAAGCTTATTTCCCCTTTGTGTACACTTACAGACAGAGGTTCAGTACTGTCTTAGATCAGAAGAATTTCTAGGGTTTATTATATGCAGGTTTTTTAGTTCTAGGAGTAAAGGTACTCAAATTGTCCTTGTTGATGCTCCCTTGGGCTGTCAAACCCTCAATCCTAGTCCATTACAGACTTAAGCGGATCGAGTTCAATTCGAGGGGACACATTTCTCTATGCCCGACACGGAGAATAAATTCTCACGAAGACATAGAGCATATGAACCCCGAAATTTACTTGCTAGGTCTGACACGGAGAATAAATTCTCACGAAGACGTCGCTTTCACTCCCACTTAAAAGGGACAAGCTTGATTAGAAAGCTTATGTTATGCAATGCAAGTGTTGTGTGTGAGGAGAAATGTTCAAACCTCTAATAGAAAAATAAAATAATTAATAAAAAAAATATTAATAATAAGTAATAAAAAATTTGAAAGAAAAGAATTAAAAATTAAATATATGAATTTTTAATTTCCAACTTATAGAGACAATTTACAATTTATTTTAAAGTTTGACATGTCCCCAGCGGAGTCGCCAAGCTGTCGTAACCGTTTTTCGTCCGGGCACGAATTTTTACTTGGCGGGAAAAATAATGTGGATACAAAATAATTAAAAAATGGTTTGGGAGTCGCCATCGGCCTTTTGGGTTAGGTAGGTCGAATACCTAAAAATTACCTTTTAAAAGAGTTTTTTAAGAAAACATCAGTTAAAAGATAAACTGATATGCGTTTAACCAAAAATTCGTTCTTTTTAGAAATAAAAAGGGATTCGTGGTCGGTTACGTTTAGGGAAGGATTAACACCCCTATAACGCCCAAAATTGGTACTTTTTAATTATAAATTGTCTCTAATAATAGAATTTTAAAAATTCAAATATATTTAATTTATAATTATGTTATTTCAAATTTTATTACTATAATTTTTAAGAAAATATATTAATTTAAATATATTTATAAAAATATTTAGTTATTTAGAAATATCAGAAAAGTACTTCTAGGTGCCTTAAGACAGCTCTTTTCTTTGATAAAAATAAATATTAAAATTTTAATAATTTAAATAAAACTAAATTATAATTTTTATAATGTTTAATTATTTAAAATATCAGAATAGGACATTCAGTTGTTTTAAAACTGCCCTTTTCTTTGATATTGAAAATAAATATACATTATTATTTAAAATATATATATATAAATATATATATTTATATATTTATTTATTTATGTGACTAATATGAAAATAATAATAATATAAAATTAATAACAAATTAATATTATAAATAAATAATATTTAAAATAAATTTAAAAGTAATAATATTAAATTGCAAAATATATAAAAACAATCAGGATCAAAATGAAAAGAAACAAAATATTGGTGACTAAAAAAGTAAAATATCAAAATTAAAGGGCATAATTCAAATTAACAAAAAACTTAATGCTAATAATGTAATTTAACCCTATTTAATTAATTCGGGTTAAAAAATAAATTAAAAAAATTATGAAAGACTAAATAAGGCATTTAACCTAAATATATGTATAATACAGGTAAGGACTAAATTAAAATAAAATGAAATTATAATATTAAACTGAAATAATCAAAAATCAATTTCAGTGACTAAATTATAATGATTACAAACTTAGAGAACTGCGGACAGGGTTTACCCTCTTCTTAAAACGCACCGTTTCATTATGAAACGACACCGTTTTGTATCGGGTATAAAATACCCCAAACGGCTGGCCCTTCGGGCCAGCTCTCATTTCTTCTCATTTCTGTTCTCTCTCTAGTTGAGAGAGAAGAGAATTCTCTCCCTTCTCTCTATTATTTCCCTCACCGGAGGGAACACGGTCTCCGACCGGCAGTCGCACTCCGGCATTGAACACCGCCGCCGGCCACCGTTAACGGTGGCCAGAAAATTTTTTAAAATACCCTAGGATATAAATCTCACCGTTCTAAGGCCGAATCCGGCATCTATTTTCCCCAAAAGTCCTTGGAATTTCCTAGATCTAAGAAAATACCTTCGGTATTTTCGGTACTTCGGCGATGTTTGGTGTTCTCCGGTGGTTCTGCTTCCTCGGTAAGGGTTTCTCCTCTCTTTTCTCTCGATTTTTTTCCTGGTTGCTTCGTTGTTGTTGACTGGGATGTTTGGTATATTTTTTTGCTCTTGTTTCTGTTTTTCTCCGGTTCTTCCTCCTTTTTCGTTTTGCAGGATCCGGTGGCTTTTATAGCCACCACGGAGCCATGCTCGGACCGGTCCAGAGGGGGAAGTTCGGTGAGTCACCGAGCTATGTGGTGACTCACCCCATAGCCGCGACGTGTGGGGGGGGGGGCAACTGGCTTCTGGAGGCTTCTGGCGAGGCGGCGGCTTCGTGGCTGTAGCGGGTTCGAGCATCTGGCAGCTGACCGTCGGCATTGGTCTCTGGCAGCTGGAGAGGCGGCTGCGGCGCTAGAGTTAGAAACCCTAGCTGAAACCCTAAATGTTTAAGGTTTCATTTTGGTCTGGGCCGGTTGATTGGGCCTTCGATTTGGGCTTGTAATTAATAATAAATAATAATATTAATAATAATAATAATAATTTTAATAATAATTTAAGAAAAATGAAAAATTGATGTTTACACTTGTGATAATGGTTAACCTGTAATAAGTTATGACCTCAAAATGAGTTATGAGCAGAATATAAGAACGATGAAACATGGGAAAGTAATGATCAAATTACCTGATTATGTGAAGCAAACTTCTCGACATCAACCACCAGTATATTTAAATTGCATTATGAAAAAAAATATATAAGAACAATAAGGTGAATGCAAAAAGAAGTGATGATAACAATATTATCGACTTTGTGAATATTTCATTATGATGCTGCTGTACATGCAAGAAAAAGATGTGGTTCAGCACTTACATTTAGGAAAAAATCCACCTTTGCCCACGGAGATGAGAGTTCTTCGCGAATGCTTCGATGATGATCACTTGGTATACATCTTCTCCTAACTCTTCCCCAACCTATAATCAGAGTGGTAATTATTTCTCATTTCGATTTTGGAGATAATAGTAGTTTCATTTTCTCATTACAAGTACTGGAGCTGGGAATAAATTTTCTCACAGCTGATGACATGAGTGCAATTCTTGCTATGAAACTAAGGAAAAGTTTGGGAGGGATGTGGGCAAGGGTGCATGTCAGACGCATGCATGTTGAAGGAAAGGTACCGACAAAGAACTAAATGGTTGCTTTTACTATAATATTAGCCATGTTGTACATGAAAAGAATTTATTCTCTCTCCTAGATTGTAGTGATGTAGTACTGCCGAAGAATTTGCATCATGTCCGATTGCATAGTTACGAAATGGTTGCTTTTACTATAATATTAGCCATGTTGTACATGAAAAGAATTTATTCCCTCTCCTAGATAGTAGTACTGCCGAAGAATTTGCATCATGTCCGATTGCATACTTTTTGTGCCCTATCCAGATTCCAAACCATGGTGGCGAAGGTTGGGGAAGCTGAGTCTCGCTAAGTCACCCCTAAGTTTATAGGCTGCTTCCTCTGCTGTATTGAAAGTGCCTAACCAAAGACGGGTCCGGTTCTTAGGTAGCCGGATCTCAGCGACCCATTTTCCCCAGTGACGTTGCCTAACTCCTCCGTAAAGCTTGGTGGGTTTTGGTGGTGAACCCATGTGTTTCATTGGGACTGGTTGGGGGCTAAGAAAGCTCACCATGTGGTTGTTGATGGGTTGAGGATTTTGATAAAGGTAGCTTGGTTGGTTGAATTGGTTCATCTGAGCTTGGGTTAAATTGTTTAGCTCAATTGTAGAACCAAACTGAGACTGTTGAACACCTAAAAATTGATCAACTGTTGAGAAATAACAAGTGTTTCCATCAAGTTCTTGGGAAGAAGAGAATGAGAGGTAAGAAGGGGAAAGGGAAGAAGAAGAGGAAGAAGCACTTTTCATAAAAGGCTCAAGGAGCCTTCATCAACTCTACACGTTTTTTGTGATTTGAGAGACAACGTGGGTTTTTGAATATTCAAAGTGGGTTTTTTTAATTTTTTAATTGTCAACTTAGACTTTTGTTAGTGGATTAACGGATGTTAATGTTGAGGGATATAAATCAGACGGACCGATAACGTTAAGGATCAATGCATTTAATTAATAAACCGGTGACTAAAATCGATCAGACCAAAAACAAATGAGACTATTAACATAGTTTACCCATTAATATTTTATAGTTACTTAAAAAGATAAAACCCTTTCAATGCTCAAGTAGTTTCTAAAAATTAAAGCCCAGACCATAAGATAAGACACCATCCAATTAAAATAAATTCAAGTTTTAAGGCTAATATTTCAGCAAATCCGATTATAGAGCGTTGAAAACAGAAGAAAGCAAATCAAGAAGCAATAGGACCATGAGTCAGTTGAACACTTACTAAAACCATCAACCACGAGTCTTCATTTGTTTCTTCTTCAATTTTCTCAGCAACCAATCAAATAGTCAGGAATCATAACACAACAAAACTAATGGGTTAATTACAATGTAGTCAGCAATTCTATTTTATCAAAACAAGTAATATTGTTCTTTATTCTTCCTCAACTTGAACAGCCATCAAAATTCTTAAAAAAACCATACGTTGAGAAGAATCAAAATTTACTTTCGATTCCTTCATTCTTCCCAACAGGTACTTAAAATTCAATGAAAAGTTCAATTTTCAAGCCAATCCATAGATTATATAACAAACAAGAGTGATAATATACTTTCATATCCTTCGATTTTTTTTTATCTCAAACTTTCCCAGTCACCAAAAAACGAACCCAAAAAAAAGAAGCTGATATTACCTGAGAAAACGAATACATGAGACTGGTACTGAGTGATCTTGGAGCAGACTATGAATGGATGAGTTCTATCTCTTCCTGCTTCAAGTCTCCCATGGATGGTTCTTGGATATGATTTAAGATGGTGATCAACTGCGCAAAGGAACATCTTTGTAACAGACCACTAGGTTTGTGTTCTTTGTAATTTGAAGCCGGCAACCATGCATGGTATAAAGTCACGTGCAAGGGTTCTTGCTGCTTCGAAGAACGACCACACCAAGATGTGCAATGAACATAGATCTTAGGTTAACTTCCAGTGAGTAGTGCAAGGAAGATGAAGATGCAAATGGAATTGATAATATGTTAGACGGTGATGAAACACTGCATAATGGAATGGTTCAGGTTGTAGGAGAGGATATACGTGTTGATGGTGGTGGTGGGGAGATATATTCTTCTGCTGTCGATATGGTGACCTTCAAGGAGGATATATGACATAGTTTACCCGTTAATTTTAAAAAATATTTAATTCTAATTTAAATTAATCTTAATTTAAAGTTAATTAATGAAATTAACCTTAATTTCTTAATTAGTTTTAAGTTGGTCCCTAATATGAATCTTTCCTAATAAATTTAATCTTAGTTATTAATTAATTTTAATTTAAAATTAGTTAATATTTTTTTAAAATTTTCTTAATCAATTAACAACATACGCATATTATTATAGAGGTAACCGCTCAAACTCATTATCTCTAAGAAAAACAATATTATCTTTTATCACTAAAACCATTAAAAAAAATTGCGTTAATTTCTTTCAAAATTGTGACGCATCAACGTTCTTAACATTCTTTTAAGAGGTAGGATCCAATATAATATAAAATTAATAAAAATTACAAGATCAACGTAGAAGTGAAAACAAATAATAAATATAAAACTTGTTTGAATTTTTTAAAAGCTAGTTGAAGGAAAGAAATAAACTTTGAGAATTAATAAAATAGATAATGAAGTTATAAAGTATAAAACCAATGCAAGCATGAATGAAACAACCAAGTGATGAGATTACTTAATGCTAGAATTTGCTACTATGCACCGATCTTAGTAAAACAGTGGTCATCCGAGTATTCATCCGACGCAAAATCGAGGACTTTTGCTTCTTGGATTTGCCGCCGAAGATGAATGCGCTAAGAGGAACCTTTCCGGAATCACTGTCGGAGCGTCGCACTCGGCCGCCACTTCGACACTTGTAAGAGCCGGAAAGTCCCCCGTCTCCACTCAACTTTGCCAGGTTCCTCCTAATTTCAAGCTGCAGTCTTGCTACATTGTCCAAACCAGCTTCCAGTTCATTTGCAACTCTGATGTTCTCTTGTTTCATGTTCTGGATCTCGCCCTGGAATCTTGCTGCTTGGTCACTTGTGAACGTGAATTCATCATCTTCGGCACTTGCTTTCAAGGCCATTGTTATTTCTTCTTGAAGCTCGCACAAAGACGAGAAGCGCTGCTTCAGTTCTTCTCTTAGCGATTCGCCTTTCTCCGTCCAGACAGTCAGTTCATCGTGCACTTGTCTCAGATGTTCGGACAATAGTTTCACTTCGGATTGCACTGAATCTTCCGAACTGATACTTCGGTCTTGCTTTCGTTTTGCCTCGATCTTCGAAACCTCCTCCGATAAATCTTTCACTCGAGTTCTAAACATGTTTACCTCTTGGAATGTAGAGCTGAATCTGCACCAGAAATCCAAGTTCTCTTCCAGCAGTTCATCGATGTCGGCCCGGAACTTGTTTTCGATTTCTGAGGTAGTTCCGAACTTTTCGATGTCTATCATCGAATCAAAATCTTCTTTTACTTGTTTCTCTGGATCCTGAGTTTCAATAATTACTATTTTCTCAGAAATCATTGTTTTTGGTTCAACATTTTGATCTGCATTGTTGTTTTCTCCAAGGCCTGTTTGGAGAAGGCTTAGTTTCTCTTGTAAGGATCGAATCAATTCATCTTTAATGGCATTACTCTTATTAAGTTCTTTCAACTGCACCATTATCTCAGGCTTCCCATCCTGGTTATTTGCTTTGGCTTCCTTGAGCTTCTTCTCCGTATCCTTATTCCGAAGCATTATACTGTATTCCATCAACAAATCCTTCTCTTTGTCTTTCGTTTCAAGTTCTGTCAATCCGAGTTTGTCGATGTTGTTCGCTCCCCGCAAGAAAGCTCCTGCCTCAACGTTACTCGCTGCTTTGAGGTCTTCACGTTTTTTGGAAGGCTTCGAATTTTCATGGCTAATATCCCCTCCATTTGTAGAAGTAGCAATAGATTCATGCTCTATCATGTCGAGGCTGTCGTTGTCATTCCCTTCTAATTTAGCATCGCTGCAGTTCGTAACGCTGACATTGTGATCGAGTTTTTCTCCCGTCTCTTGTGACTCTTTTGGTAATGAAGTTGACTCCATGACAATCCCTGGTTTTGCAGCCTGCAGATCTTTGCTTCCATTACTGTTTTCTTCTTCTGCATACACTTTTTTGGATTCAACGTTTGCTGGAGAATTGTCTTTAAGCTCCATGCTTGTTTTTACCATCTTCAACTTCTTTTCACCACCTTTGATCGCCTTCTCAGTTGATGATTCGACTGCCATGGATGAGCTGTGCTCTTTTTCGAACTTCTCTTTGATACTAAGAACTTTTTCGGAAAGGTGATCTAGGCTACAATGTGCTTCGGTGAAATGTGTTTGGAGACTCTTGTTTTGAACTTCAAAACTATGGCTCAATTCCTGAATCTCATTCAACTTCTCCTCCATTTCCCTTATCTTCTTCTTCACATCAATTTTCCCATCAATCAATGTGTCCTTAACATCTTCCAACACCTCGATCTGAGATAGAAGCATATCGATCTCGGTTCGTAGTCTCACGACAAGAAGCGACTGAGATGCGACCGCACTTTTTAAGTTGATCACATTGTTCACAAGTTCATCGATCTTCTCTGCCATCTCTGTCACACTCAAAGATCCACTGAAGAAAAGCTCAAACTGTTGCTTGATCTTTTCCCTCAGAGATTCTATTTCCTTCCTCTTTTGGACATCATCATTGTCACCCGTTTCTTGTTCTGATCTTTTGAACTCTTCTTGATTGAGCTGTAACTTCTTCTTCAAGGCATCCAATTTTTTCCTCGAAACAACAATCCTTTTCTTCTCAACTTGAGCTTCCTTGAAGTATCTCACCTGTTTGTCCTCCAGTTGAGCCAATGTATCTCTGCAAGATTTCAAAGCAGTCACTTCCATCACGATTCGAGCCTCATCATCTGCGATCGCCTGACCTTCACCAAACTCGTCTTCCAAACTACAAAGTTGATCATGAATCTCTTGAATCTCATTATCTAATTCCCAGTACTTCACCATCGCACACTCATGCGTGCTTCGAGCGAACTCTTTCTCGGTCTGCAACTTGAGGATCCATTTCTGAAGCCTATGAATCTCATCAAGTCCTTCAGGTATACTCAAACCAGATTTCGGAATCCAACGAATACTCCCATTTGGTGATATTATCTTTTGTTGCTTTCTCTTGACGCCTGATGCTGCCAAGCCCTTCACATCTCCAACACTAGGCTTTGGACCCTTGTGAACGGTGGGGACATCGCCTTTTGGGTTCTCCACGACATGCGAAACAAAGGCTTTCGAGTTCTCGATGACATAAGGCATATGGCTGCCTTTCGAGTTCTCGAGGAGGCAAGGCATATAGCCGCCTTTCGATATCTCCCACGACTTCTTTGTGGACTTCGGTGATCCAGAATCGTCTTCATTCTCCATGGCAAACTGGAACTGCTCTGGGAAAATGGAAGCGATGGTGTTGTTTGCATTTTGGAGCTCCGTCGACAAGTGATTATATCTTTCGGCTAAGGCTCGATAAGCCCTATAAGATTCTTCGACAAAATTGATCAACTCGGGCCTCTTTTTGTAGTACATTTCGGCTCTCCTCGCAAACGAGTCCCCATCTTCTTCGATCAGCTTAAGAATAATCTTCACCCTTTCCTCCATATCTACATTAATTTCCCCATAATTTTCCAATCATAAAGATAAAGATTTGAGTGTCTCAAAGCTATGTCATAATAATAATAATAATAATAATCGTAATAACCTTAGGTTTGTATTTACAATGAAAGAAAATTCCATCAACATTATAAGAAAAGACTGGAAAGTCGTACTCATAAATTAAAAATCCCAGAAAAGCAACAAAAACAAACATGGAGGAAAAAACATAAAGTACCTTGAAGGCTTTGCTCCATCCATTTGGACTGCTTTGTTCTGATGTGACTAGCCCACCACCATGAATATGAATTATTAGCTGCTCTCTGCAACATCTTCACAATCCCTTAATATTTTTCTCTGTATTTGGTTATAGGAATGTGATCATGGAGGGGGGCTTAGTTTTTTCTTTCTTTTTCTCTCTTTGTATTTGGCGATGGGAATGTGATCATGGAGGGGAACATGCTAAATAACCCATGAAAGTGGCAATGTACGTTCAAAAAAAGAAAAACAGATTTGAAGTTCCAGCCAGTAGTATATCTCCACGTGGCATATTGTCTTTTTTAAAACATTTAACAGGGTGTTCGGGGCACCCTACTTTTTTACCCTAACAGACTTTTGTCTATTTTAATTCAGATGATTATCATAACAACAGTAATAATAAAGGTGTCAAAAAAAGAAATCAAAGGTGTTCAATCTAAAGTATATGATCTGTCATCCTGTTGAAGACTAAACAGCTTTTTTACCAAAAAAAAAAAAAGTTTCAAATAACTGGAGAATGTTTTTTACAGCAAACTATTTTTCTATTGAGGCCGCTCAATGGATTAAAAGAAGCAAAATCTTAAATATCACAGGTTTCATTACTCGGATACTCAAAACGATAAGGTGGAATATTAAAAAGATAGCGTCATAGGAAATCTGTAGATATCAACACCATGCATGTATAATCTCAGACTCTCCTGTTCACTCAGCCATCACTAAAGTCGAGCACTGGTCTGGCCCTCTTGCATCGACCAGGTCGCAAACCCCGGTACAAGCAGCAAAAACTGGCAAATGAATGCACATGAGCGAAAAAGCTGCAGCAATTAATTTCATGAAGCCTAGATTAAGGACATAAGCAGCAAAGAAAAAGCTGATAGAGATTTGCAAAGCTAAGAACGTGTAATCAATATGTTCGATGAGATGATCACATCATAAACGAGAGGGTCGCTGGCGTCGAACACAATATGAGCAGCAAAGCATGTTTCAGAGTTGCAAAATCTCCTGCTAGTTCAACTGTTCATCACACAGAGGGAAGACCCCTTTTTTTTCTTCATTGTTTTGAAAATGATGGTATTCATTCAAGCAGCCACAATTTGATTAGATTTCATCAACCCCGATTCATCTTTAAAGGATAAGTTAGGAAGATATGAAAACTTGGTACCTGCTCTATCCCACATTGGTAAAAAATAAAGGCTGACGCGCCAACTACAGCCATATAAACCAACGCAAGCCAGCGTTGTTTCTTACGGAGCCGTGTGATGAGCTCAAAGCGAATTATTCTTTCGCCTTTTACTAAAGAATACCGTGTGCTCGTCATTATTAATGGCATACGCTAATTTTTGGAGTGCTTGCCTTTTTGGGCAAGCGCCAACAATTCAAGTTCAAAATATTTTTATTCGATTTTGACTAGTTGTCATTTTCGAATCAAATAAAATTCAGTTATATAAGATTAAAGATTATGAGAAATTATGATATTAAGAAGATATTATTATCATTGAACATGCAAAAATATTATTTATAAATTCGAGATAAGTTCAAGAAGCAATCAAATAATTTAATATTAACAATGTAGTTATTTTTCATTTTTATATTGTTATTCAATTTGTAGACATTAATTTTTTCATCATATTTATTATCATTATTATTATATAATATTATTATTAAATGAAAAATATAAGCCCAAACTTGAGGTATGTTTTACAATAAACCCTAAACCCGTTTACATGCCTAGGCTCAACTCTGGCCCAATAATCCGGATGCAGAGGAAACCCTAGGGTTTCACATTTCTCAGCCGTCGCTTGTTTCTCTACCGTTGGATATGGTAAGATCCAACGGCCCAGATGGTTCTGGCTTGAAACCCTAGGGTATCATAACCCTAGAGCCACGTCACAGCTGCCGCCGTTGATTCCAGAAGGCCACACGTCCGTTGCCGACGCTTCAGTACTGCCACCACGCCTCTAACGAACACTCCAGAAACCTTGCTGCCATGACACAGACCGTCCACGTCGCCTCTATGGTGAGTCACCAATATAGCTTTGGTGACTCACCGAGCCTTTCATCCTTTGGATCGGTCCGACGAGAGCCACACCGAGGCTATAAGCCTCAGTTCCCCTGCAAAAAAAAGGGGGGAGGAGACACCACGAAGCACAATCAACAACCAACTGAGAAAAGAGAAGAAAACTTACCCTGCTCGTCAGTTTCACCGTGAAAACCGAAGGTAATACCTACGGTTTTGTTTAGATTTAGGGAAATTTAGAGGATTTTTAGCAAAACTCACTTTAGATCTAGATAAAAGAAAATATAAGCTGTAATTTGGGGGTGTTTCTGTAAAATCCGACCACCGGAGACGGTGGCCGGCGGCGGAGATAACGGCGGCGTGTGGCTGCCGACTGGCGACCAGATTCCCTCCAGTGAGGGAACCTAGAGAGAAGCCAGAGAAAAATGCTTCTCTTTGTTTTAGAGAGAAACTGAGAAAGAGAGAAATGAGGATTTGGCCCGAAGGGCCGGTTATAATAGGGTATTTATACCCTCACCAAAACGACGCCATTTTGATGAGGGTGTTTCTGTAATTTCTCATATGGAATAACCATACCCGCAACCATCCGAGTTTTGTAACATTCCATTTTGGTCATTGAAATCAACTTCTATTTTTTTTAATTCGGTCTATGAATTTTATTTAATTTATGATTTAATCCTTAGTATAAATTTTAGGTAAAATAGCCGATTTAGCCACTGTAATTTTAATAGCTAATATTTTAATCCCAAATAATTAATTAGGATAAATTACACTATTAACTATTATTTCTCATAACATTTCGAATTAATATCTTTAATTTCCATATCTTATATTTCAATTATTTGATTTTAATTTTACTGTTTCTAATTTAATTTCGTTTTTATTAATTTTAATATATATTTAATTTAATATTTTAGTTTTATTCATATATCAAATAAAAATCCTATTTATGAACTATATATGTTTAATTTAATTTTATTATTATTTTAAGAAAATGTTTTAGTTATTTATTTATTTTTTAATATCGAAGAAAAGAGCTGTCTTAAGGCACCTAGAAGTCATTTTCTGATATTTCTAAATAAATAAATATCTTATTTATATATATATATATAAATTAATAGATTTTATTACAATTATATTAATAAATTTGAAATAACATGATTATGAATTAAATATATTTTTGATTTTTTTTAAATTTTCAATAAATAGAGACAATTTATAATTAAAAAAGTACCAATTTTGGGCGTTGTAGGGGTGCTAATCCTTCCCTAAACGTAACCGATCACGAATCCCTTTTTATTATTAAAAAGAACGAATTTTTGGTTAAAACGCAGACCAGTTTATCTTTTAACTGATGTTTTTCTTAAAAACTCTTTTAAAAGATAATTTTTAGGTATTCAACCTACCTGACCCAAAGGCCGATGGCGACTCCCAAAATATTTTTAAATCAAAAATCATTTTTTATCTACATTATTTTTCCCGCCAAGTAAAAAATTCGTGCCCGGACGAAAACCGGTTACGACAGCTTGGCGACTCCGCTGGGACCAGTCAAACTTTAAAACCAATTATTAATTGTCTCTATCAATTAGAAAATTAAAAATTTATATATTTAATTTTTAATTCTTTCTTTTCAAAATTTTTATATATACTTATTATTTTCATAATATATATATATTATTTTAATTAATGCTTTATTTTCAAGTATTAAATTTTATTATTTATTTGTTTGTCATAGGTTTGAATATTTCTCCTCACACACAATACTTGCATTGCATAACACAAGCTCTATAATCAAGCTTGTCCCTTTTAAGTGGGAGTGAAAGCGACGTCTTCGTGAGAATTTATTCTCCGTGTCAGACCTAGCAAGTAGCTTTCGAGGTTCATATGCTCTATATCTTCGTGAGAATTTATTCTCCGTGTCAGGCATAGAGAAATGTGTCCCCCTCGAATTAAACTCAATCCGCTTAAGTCTATAGGGGGCACCAACAAGGACAGTTCGAGTACCTTTACTCCTAGAACTGAAACCCTGCATATAAAAAAAACCCTAGAAATTCTCCTGATCTAAGACTATACTGAACCTCTGTCCGTAGGTTTACACAAAAGAGAAATAAGCTATAACTTTTATTTTATTTTCTTTTCTTTTCTTTTTCCTGAACAAATGCATGCGAACTAGAAATCATGCAGTTAGGTTAATTTTTCCAAACAAAGCATGGAACTAGAAAGCATGAGGTTAGGATACATTATATACCTTGATAGATAGAATCTTTCTTGGTATTAACCAATTTATATTTTCCCTTTCCATTTTTATACATTTTGTTTTGCTCTAACATTTTTATATTGATTTCTTTCGTTTGCATTGCATGATCATAGCATAACCAAAAGGTGTTGACTTGAAAGACTGTTCATCAAATTGGAAAGAAATCATAAATGGACAAAAAGTTTTATGATCGAACAAAATATGACGCAACCATGGAATGGCATCCTGAGGGAACTCCGAAGATAGAGGAGAGCTATGCACATAAAGATCATGTGTCCATTAAGGAGCAAAAGGAGATACGAAAAATAAGAGAGCAGATGATGGATAGAATATCTGTTTTGGCCAAAGGAGAAGAGATTCCTGCACAGAAAGAGAGAAAGCTTAATGAAGATAATCCTACAATTTCAGATATGCAAGGGACTTCTTATCCTAACCAATTTAAGAAGTTGCAGACAATCATTATTTGTATTCACAAGTTGTCTGGAGATATTCAGGAAATGGTGACAACTATAAAAGCTCCCGGAGATGAGAAGAAATCATATAATCTGAAATCGACGAAGTTTAGTCTGATCCCTACTTCTAAAACTCAGGTTCAATCCAAGAGAAAAGGTGATTCTCATTTTGATGCTATCCCTATATCATATAAAGAGTTATATAAAAAACTACTTGAAGCATGACATCAACGTTTATTGTGAATATCATGCAGGAGCTCAAGGACATACTATTGAGAATTGCCTTGCCTTCAAACGTCGAGTCCAAAGTCTTTTGAATCATGGAACCTTACAATTTATGGTAAATGATCGACCTAGTTTGGTAACCGAATGTCCTGCTAGATTAATACCAAAAGTCTTCAAAGGTAAGAGTATCAGTAGGGGCGCCCAGAGAGAAGAAGATTTGCTAAGGTTTGAAGCTCAAATACGTCATTTAAAGATTGAAAACGATAAATTGAGCACCAAAATGGAAACCATACATGAAGATTTCCAGAAGGTCAGTCAAGCCTTTCAAAATACTGGCATAGGAAATACCCCAGAAGAGTGGATAACAGGGGTCACCAAACTGAAAAAGAATTGCAATATAAATGAAGGACGAGCCAAGAAGTTTTCTCATGATTTACGAGTTGCAGAAGAAAGACTCAATACAACTGTCATGGAATCGAGAAAATATCAAGTCGACAATCAAAGGTTGAATAGTGCTATGACCAACATGGAAGCATCATATCAGATTCATCAGCTTGAGATCGATACTGAATTAAAAGCCACTATGGCCAAGAACAAAACATTGAAGAAATGTTTAGATGATTATGGAGATCTTGTACGAGAACTTCTTGAACATAAAGAATCTCTCACAAAAAAAATGAACAACATTGTTTACAAACCCGAGAGTTGACACAGAAGATAAAGGAAAAAGACAATGTCACGAAGGAAATTACTGCTCAAGCAAACAATGTAGCTCATAAGCTGGTGGACATAGCTGGCTTTGCGAGAGAATTAAAACAGATGGATAACTCCACACCTGAGTATGAGTGGAAGTTAGTTTGGCTTTTAAGGGAAATAGAGAAGTTAGGAGTGAAAGCTGTCCCTTACATGTAAAAGTTTTGTTTGATGTACCGAAACTTTTGTGTTCAATGAAATCTGTTCTAAGATGATCACTCTTAAGTAACACCTTTTCATACATGCATTTATATTTTGTATGTGCATTTCCATTTTGTATTCTTAATTTTTACATCTTTGCATTACACAGTTTGCATTCTTATTTTTGCATTTATGCATTTTCACATTTACATTACATTTTTTTTAGTATTGTTATATACATTAATTATAAAAACATGTTAATAATCTATGAAAGGTTTTGTAGCAGTAAAACCAAGATCATTCATTCATATTACTTTACCATCATCATGAAAACAATGAAGCAATCTTATGAGGGACTACAAGATCAATGGCCAGAACAATTGACAGGGTTACCTCAGGATATAAGGAAAGAAACATCAGATTTAGTACCAGATGGATCAAATCAAATTATTCAGTGTGTGGCATCTAATAAAGAAGAGATAATTGATAAAGAGAAACCATGCTGTCAGATTGAAGAGTCAA